ATACCTTCTGTGGGACTCAGATTTCCATAGTGAGGAGACACCAAGTGGATCCAGACATGGATTTGCCCACGGAGAGACCAAAGGCTGGGAGAAGGGCAGCCTGCATGAGTGGGCTGTCCCTCTGTCAGGGACAGCTTCTCTTGGCAGCCCTGGGACAGACCTCTCCGTGGCCCACCACACAGCAGCTGCAGCCCTCCTTTGGTTTTGGAAAGCAAAGACACCTTCCTCACATTTTAGGGATGGCAAAGAATTAGTCACCCTGTGCTGATAAAATAGAAATGAACTTTAACAGGGCTTGATTACCAGAAGCTTGCTGGGGAGCCACAAGGGTTTGGAAAGCAGGTTGCTTGTTAACTGGTGATTAAGATATCTCACACTAAACACACTCTCTTGCAACAAGGATAGACTCTTAATCAATTTCAAATATTAGCCCATCTGGATCAAAGTAGGATTTCAAAAGTGGTAAACATTGTCTATGCCTGAGACAGATTTTTCCACGACCATATTAGAGGGTGGAAGAAAAAGAAATCATTCATTCCTTCGACAAACCTTTCCCGAATGTCTAGCATGCCTTAGGGATACATAAATGAAGATGATGGAGCACACTTAGAATTAAACACAAACTCTTGCACCAGTCCACGTCACTTGGGTTCTGGGGCTGACTCTTGTGGGTTTGCAAGAACCAGTTTTTCCCATATCTTCTGAACCCCACTTTCACTGACCTCATGTGGGTGGCCTGAAATTGACCACAGTGATGTATTTACACCACAGAAATCAAATGCCAAAGAGCAGAGAGCTGGTTGCTAGACGTTTACCAACACACCACTGCCTGCAAGGCCCAATGAGGGGTCCCCATACACTTCCCCCACTCACCACCAGCCAGCCTCTCCCGTCTCCTTGCGTGCTGACCACACTGAACTTTCTGGGTGTCGAGCCCACCTCCTGCATCGCCACCGTATAACAGATACACGTGTCTGTCTGCACAGGCTTATTTATTCACTTCACCTCTCTGTGCCTATTTCAAAACCAACGGCAGCATAAGGACTTTGCAGGCCTATGAAAGCTGAAATACGCTTGTTTGTGGGAACCCATCTCGACCGAACATCCAGACACACAAAGCCTGAGCTGGGGCGTGCTGGTCAGACTTCTTTGTGAGGCTTTTCTTAGCCTCACTCTATATATGAAAGAAATAGTATTATCAAAGCATAGGCTTCATCCACAAGGTGAAATTAAGCCTATAATCAGGCCAACCTGAATCATTAAAACAACTGGATTAAAGAATATATTTAAATCAATTTCTTTTAAACCTTCCAAGACTGTAATTCAGTGCGATTGCTAATGCCACTTCCAAATACTACAGAGGCCATGGTGTTGTTTTTTTTTTTTAAATTTTAATGGAAATACATTTTTTTTAATTAATTTATTTTTGCCTGCGTTGGGTCCTCGTTGCTGCGCGCGGGCCTTCTTTTTAGTTGCGGTGAGCGGGGTCTACTCTTCATCGCCGTGTGCGGGACTCTCATTGCGGTGGCCTCTCTCGTCTTGGAGCACCGGCTCTAGGTGCGCGGGCTCTAGAGTGCAGGCTCAGTAGTTGTGGCGCACGGGCCTAGCTGCTCTAAAGCATGTGGGATCTTCCTGAACCAGGGCTCGAACCCGCGTCCCCTGCATTGGCAGGCGGATTCCCAACCACTGCGCCACCAGGGAAGCCCCATGGCCGCTGTGCTTTTAAAGAGCTTTGGTTTTCTTAAATACAATAGCCCTTTGTATATCCAGAGCCCAAATATAGGGCAACCTCTCCACTCCAGGGCAGGGCAGAGCAGCCGAGACTGCTGTTACAGAGTTAGTTTTAGAGGCTCAGTGACCTTTTTCAAACTTTTGCATCTTTACTATGTTATATGAGATGTCAAATAACAAGCTTCAGAGAGCCCTGCATTAGCAGCCAACATTTTGCTTCTTAAATGCTAAAACTGCACACTGTCCTTGGGTAATAGTCTCCTAAGTCCAGGTAGCCTGGGGTCCACCCGCTTCAAGGCAGCTGGACTAGATGATGTTTCACCTGTCCCCATCTCCCCGCCACTGCAAATCGGGCTACTGAAGACATCCCAGGGCCCACCTGCTGCATCCAAGGTGGGGTCCAAAATGAGGTGGGAGGCGGGATGAGAAACCAAGGGAGCCGCTGGCCAGGGGATGATTCTCCTCGTATTTCTTGATCCTGTCTGCCTCCCCGTCGCGGCCCCTACTTTCTTCCTTCTTCTTTGGCACCCGATCCTTCCTGCTTGGCCCTCTGCCTTCCTTTCCCGGCGTCAGAACAGCATTCTCTCACACCCTCTCCCTCACCTCCTGACCATGACACTGGCACGGAGTCTTTGGAGGTTCTTACCAAGAGCGTTTATTACTGGCAACGAGATAAACAGCAAGGAGGAGGGTCTCTCCTCCGCCTCCCCCGGGCCCCCAGGCAGCTGTCTTCACGTTCGCCCACTTGGTGAATATGAAACAGTGCGTCGGGGCCACTGGACCACAGCACACGAAGCAGCCAGCCCGTGAGGTGCCCTAAGCACGAACCCGGATACCCTAATGAAGCCTCCCGTCATTTGCTTTCCCCTGATTAATTTCAGATTTCGCTCACTGCCCGTTACAGAGTAATTTGATTCAGCAAGTTCCAAGATGGGACTAAAGTAACAGGAAGAAGCCTGAATATGGCACTCACCCAGAACCGGCTGCAATCGAGCTTGAAAAACACGTTTGGCCAGCAGATTCGAGACTTATAACCATAGTTATTTCTCTTTTAGATGTGGCACCAAAGGACGTGTCCAATGGCACGTAATCTCAAATTTAGCAAGAGTAAAGTTCCCTCTCAAATGTAATATTTTACTTTTAGCCTAGCTCTAAATGTTCCCCGTGTCTGGTGTGCCCTTTCTAATTTTCTGCACAGATATGGAAAACAACAAACAAATGTATGCAGCAAAGTATATTCCATAGAAAACTACCAACTGTTGAGAGCTGGGAGTTATCTCATCAGAACAAAAAAGGGGAGGCAGGGGTAGCCTACTTCAAAGGAGTGAGAGGGCGTTTCCCACTTTCAGCAAGTTATTTAGTCTTTGGTAATAATAATTATTATTAGATATGTGTATAGTGTGTGCGTGTGTGTGCACACGTGTGTGTGTGTGCGCGTGTGTGCGTGTGCGTGTGTGCGTGTGTGTGTGTGTTTACTTATTTATTTATTTATTCTCCTTCTTGTCTGTTTATCTTGTAACCGGTAAAACATTCTTAGAAAAAAACTTTGTTTAGTTTACATCATAAACTACTTGTTCAAAATATTTATAATTATCCACAATTAATTCTGATTTAATTTAATTGTGGGAATGTTCCATTTCATTAAGGCAACCCTTATTACATGTCTGCCAAGTCTCTCCCTTCAGTCTCTAAAATGATCAGGCCCCCTAGATACTTACTTCAGGTGTTAAAATGGTTTATAAATACTTTCCATTCACAAGTATTTATAAAAGTGCCTATTCTGTGCAAAATTCTATGCAGAGAGTTGGTGGGAATGCCATGATGGAAAGTGAAAAAGAGAAAGTCCTGCTTTCAGAAATGTTCAAATGTCATAAGGGGGATACATACAATACTGGTAGATCACCCATCATCTCAAACCAAGACTGACATCTAAAATTCTCTGAAAGTGTTTTCTCAACTATTTAATTAGTCCACGTCCTAAATCTAGGCACTTGTGTAAATGTCATCTTCAAGCACTTGATTTAATGTCTCATTTTATATAGAAAGTTCTTTCATTATTCAATTAAATGTGAACTTAACATCCCCTTTGATGGACGGGGAAGGAATCTGGAAGAAAATGAAAACTAGAAAACTAAAGAGAAAAGTAGCTTTTAAGGACATGATTACAACTGATTATAGTCAACACACACACACACACACACACACACACACACACACACACACAAACACACCATACAACCATGGCTGAAAAGGAATGCTTATACAAGGACAAAAAAATACTGTGGTATTCCTGTTCCTAGAGAGTTACCAGTTTCCACTTTCTTTGACAACAAAATTGACAATAACCTCTTGGCCTTTTTTTTCTCTCCCATTGCGGAGCACAGGCTCCGGACGCGCAGGCTCAGCGGCCATGGCTCACGGGCCCAGCCGCTCCGCGGCACGTGGGATCCTCCCGGACCGAGGCACGAACCCACGTCCCCTGCATCAGCAGGTGGTCTTCTCAACCACTGCGCCACCAGGGAAGCCCCCTCTTGTCCTTTTTTTAAACAACCTTCTTTCTACATCTTCATATCTGAATTTCAATGGCCCTAATTAGAATTCCAATGACACTGATTTATATAAATTTTGTTAACACAGCAATGGGGCTAGAAATGGAAACTTCCAATAGGGACACAAGTTGTGCTCATATTAATAGAAATAACTGCCTGCTTCCTTTCCCATCTCTATCCCCCTTTCTTAGAGCCAGATATTAATAAAACATTAATACAGTTAATGTACTGCATATGGAGGCCCAATGATCACATTTTCAAAGATAAGATCTATGGTAAAAAAAAGTATTGTAATACCAAAACGGGTATATTGGTCTAATTATTAACCTTTAGAAATGTTCAAGTCTTTAAAATGCAAGCAATTTACAAAAGGTTTACTAGCCTAGATTTCTACCAACTACCATCTGAAGTTAAAAATCAAACATCAAAAAACTCAAGTAGACTTTACAGGGTGTAGGAAGAAACACTTTTTGATAATTTCCGGCCGCCACTTCCTCACTCAAGAAAAACACTTATTGGCATATGTTTCTACGGGTATATTCAGTTAACTTTATGTCTCTCTCTTCACGCTAAAGAAAATTCTATTTCCTGGAATTAAGGGACTGCACTCCTTTTAAAATTTTAATTTCAACTACCTTTTAAATTAGTCACAGTAGTTTTTAGAAAGATAACCAGCAAATGAAATAGACTCAAGAAAAAGTAAATGTGTATCATAATTACCTTTTGCCTGATCCAAAGTCCTCACCTTCAGGCATTTCTGCCCTTTGAAAATAATAACAAAGTGGAGATGGCTGCAGCACTTTTGTGCTACGATAGTCTCTTCTCCAGGCTAACAATGACTACCAGGCGGGAAAAACCCCAGTAGTCAAGTTCTTTTCTTTTGGGAGTAAAGCACTCCTCCCCTACCCAGAAAGTAGGCCCCGGCCTGCCTTGAATGAAGCTAGGAGCAGGGTTATTATGACTGTCCCCTTCTAAAAATAAATAGGTCACCTCTTACTCCCAGGACCGTGACAGACAGCTGGGAGCAAGCGCTGCCCAGCTGCCCAGCTTTTTCGCTCCAGTCCTGTGAGGAGGTGTCGCCACCCAGCTATTAACCTTTACCGGGATGACTTCACCTAAGCCAGCCTACCCTTTCTATTTCCTGATTTTTCCTGGCATGACAAGGCACCCCCAAAGGGCGGCGAGCTTGAAACTTCAGCCTGGGCTATCAAATCTCCAACTCACAGGAGGGGCTGGAGGGTGGAGAGCAAAGTGGGCAGGACCGCGAGAACTGAGAGGTTGGTTTGTTCTGGAAATGCTTAGCCACTCAGCAAAAAGATCCCTTACTCACAGAAAAAGGGGGGAAATGCCAATAAACAATTGTGTTTGGAGGGATATTGTTTTGCAAGAAAATCTTCCTTTGGGTCATCTAGATTTCTCAACTCTGAAGTAAGTACACAAATGTGAGTCCATGTGTTCCTTTGGGCAACACTGTTTCTTCCGAGGGACTTCCCTCTGTCATCAGCGACCAGCCTGACATTGGAATGTGGCCGAGCTGTGGGCCTGAGATGTTCTCATAGCCTGGCCCATCATTACGTATGAGTCATCAATCACCAGGTACCCTCATTCCCTGTAACTTCTAATAGCAGGACGAAAATCCCTTCGCTTCTTGCTTTCAAAAAAGCTGGATGACACATTACTGAGATCCCTTCAGGAATATAACCTGAAAACTTTGCAGAAAAACTTGAAATCATTTTTTTTTCCTGATTGGGAAAGTCAAGTAAGGCTGTAAGCAAGATCTAATTGTTAAGAAACAACATACTTTTCTTGGATACGTGCACCCCAATGTTCATTGCAGTACTATTTACAATAGCCAGGACATGGAAGCAACTTAAATGTCCATCGACAGATGAATGGATAAAGAAGATGTGGAACACATATACAATGGAATATTACTCAGCCATAAAAAAGAACAAAATAATGCCATCTGCAGCTACCTGGATGGACCTAGAGATTATCATACTGAGTGAAGTAAGTCAGACAGAGAAAGACAAACGTCATATGATATTGCTTATACGTGGAATCTTAAAAAATGGTACAAATGAACTTATTTACAAAATAGAAATAGAGTCACAGATGTAGAAAACAAACTTACGGTTACCAAAGGGGAAAGGAGGGAGGGAGGAGGGATAAATTGGGAGATTGGGATTGACATATACACACTACTATATATAAAATAGATAACCAATAAGAACCTACTGTACAGCACAGGGAACTCAACTGAATACTCTGTAAAGACCTACATGGGAAAAGAATCTAAAAAAGAGTGGATAGATGTGTATGTATAACTGATTCACTTTGCCGTACACCTGAAACTAACAGAACATTCCAAATCAACTATACTCCAATAAAAATTAAAAATTAAAAATTAAATTAAAACATTAAAAAAAGAAACAATTCACTTTTTTTTAACATCTTTATTGGAGTAAAATTGCTTTACAATGGTGTGTTAGTTTCTGCATTATAACAAAGTGAATCAGCTATACATATACATAAATCCCCTTATATCCTCCCTCTTGCGTCTCCCTCCCATTCCACCCCTCTAGGTGGTCACAAAGCACCGAGCTGATCTCCCTGTGCTATGCGGCTGCTTCCCACTAGCTATCGATTTTACATTTCGTAGTGTATATATGCCCATGCCACTCTCTCACTTCGTCCCAGCTTACCCTTCCACTTTTCTTTTGAAAATGTGTGTTCCACTGTCACAAGATTAGTAATAGCTAATCCTAGCAATATCTCTATATTCAATATATACTTTACATTTGTATGTGTTAAAGTGATCTCTGGAGCATTAAAAGATTGAAGAGCCTAAACAAATATTATCTTTCTCTGAGGCACCGTTAGCTATTTTGTAACACGTGCCTGTCGCAATTCGCGACAATTCTTTAATATTCCTCACAAGAGCTAAAGTTCTAGACTTCAAAGTCTAAGAGTAAAGTTGCTGCAGATACTCAGACGCGTAACTCAAATACTGTTGACCTTGAAAGAAAACAGTCATAAGCAGAGTTCTGAAGATCAGGGTGTGCCCGAGCCTCTCAGGACTGGAGCGATGTGCTGTCTTGTTAGAAATTCCAGGCCTAATGAAGTGAAAAGTTGAGACGCTGAAAATATTATCCATGAGAATATTTTACCACCTCTATTTCACTTGACCGACAACAATGCTAATTCTATGATCTAATTCTCAGTTCTAACAATCCCATCCCATTAATTTTACCTTTTTTGTTCTTTTAAGCTTCTCTTATACTGCTACTCGAATATCTGAGTACCGCTGTTGTTGAACTTAGCTGCTGATGACTACACACCAGACTACTGTATCCCTGAAACCTGCCTCTGGATTTTAAAGGACAATTAACTGACCGGTGTGAGAGATGAATTACCCATTACTACCATAAAATATTTCCTTTAAAAATACTTCCTTTAAGCACGCCTTCATGCATTTTAAAATTACTTGCTCCAACCATAAATTCCCCTTTAGATATGTTTGTGTTAACTTCTGAAATTCCCAAGGCCAAGGAGGGAAAACAGGATGGCACAGATAACAAAAGCCAGGTGTAGGACACAGTGGGTGGCTTCCTCGCTCCAGTGACACCTTCGGTCCGGCGGGGGGTTTAGGGTGCCAAGGGTTCCCTCATCAGCCCTGACCGGAAACCCACTGGGCATCCCAAATTTAAGGACTCACAGAATACAGCCGTGGGAAAGACCCTGAGGGCCACGAAAGCCATCCAAGATTTTCAGACGCTGAAACGGGGGCCCAGCAAAGTTAGGTGACCTGCTGGGGACAGAGCCAGGAACAGCCTCCAGTGCAGGAGCGGAGGGCTCTTTTCATCCCTCCCGCCGAACAGAGAGCAGAACCCACTGGTTCTGGCAAAAGTGCATACATACGGCCAGACACGTACACGGTTTACGTTCTCTTATACCCATACTCTTTCAAACTTTGTATGCATTTAATTTTAGGAGTATACTTTAAGTGAACATTTTTATTTTCTCTTGCAGTTTTAATCAGTATTATGGCCTAAGAAAATAACTGCCATTTCAAAGCTAAATGTCCACTTCTCTGAATGCCCTTTTTTCTCTTCACACAATCACCGGCCTAAGAGTTTTTGTTTTTTTCCTTCTCTCCTACGGCAGTGTTGACTGAGGCTCTGGAACTTTCGGAGACAAGACGAGGGACCCTCCCTCTATTGCAGGTTACAGGGCAATATTAGCATGAATGGCTAAGAAATGGGTGGGGTTCGTTGGTGGAGAGAAAATTATTAAGAGGGGCAGGTTAACTCCTCGACCTAACAGAATTCTTGCTGAAGTTAGGCCAGGGTGATCAGCTATTACCTAGGGGATGGTGAGACATGAGGGATTTGGTTAGATATTAAGGGTGATCAAATATCAAGGGCGGAGGATTCTCGATGAACTGACTTGACAAATTTCTTGCTAAAACTGGGCTTCTGAGGACGTACCCAAGGGCAGGGCCTAGTTGGAAATGAGCTCACAGGAGCCTGACTAGTTTGGTCAAAGGGAGAGTCTTCGTCACCTCCTAAGAACAAGGCACATTTTAATTTTTTTTAAATTAGCACTCAGTGTTACAAACTGTATGGCCCCTTCAGAGGGGCACTGTCCGGTATGGTAGCCCCTAGCAGCACCTGGCTACTGAGCACTTAAAATGTGGCTAGTTTGGAACTTTAGGATGGAGTAGGAAAAAAGACTGTAAAATATCTCATTACCAATTTTTATATTGATAACATGTCGAAATAATAATATTTGGGATACACTGGTTAAATATAAAATGTATTATTAAAATTAATTTCACTTCTTTCTGTTTACTTTTTCTAAACATGGCTGCTAGAAATATACAATTATATATGTAGCCTGCATTCTGTTTCCACTGACCTGTACAGCTCTAGAGCTTCAATTTTCTACTTTTCTGCCAAAACTGGCCTAAATTTGACATAAAACAGAAGTTCCTTTGAGAGCTCACTGGCTAACACAATCTTACCAATTGTCTCAAAAACATTTCCAGAATCACTTTTAGTCAGAAGGGAAAGGGGTACAAATTACAGAAGGCAATTAACAGGACAGTTAGTGGATACTGAGAAGAGTCCATTGAGTATCTTCCCCCTCCATATCTTGGCCTCCGCTTTTCTCCATCCAAAACCCTCTCCCACCCTTGCTTCCCTTTGGCCTCCGAAGACAAGAGCCCATAAGTAATTTCTTCAAGGCCAGGCTGTATCCCAAGTTCTTGATTCCCTTCCCTCCTCTCATCTCTGGTTTAAACCACCAGGTATCCCAGCCTGTTCTTGCCAGTTCCTGACCTCCCAAATTCTACCTTTCCCTCAGCCGGGCAGGCCTTTTCCAGAAACCCCGCCACTGACCATAACAGCTTCTTCTAGTCCCAAACCTCTGTCTGCCCTTTACAGCCCAAGGTCCTAACCAGGGGTCTATGTTCAACTCACTCCTCACCAATTACAGCCTACCTTCCGCCCCTACCACGGCCCTGACAATTCTCTTCAAATGCAGCTGATGCTTACTTTCCATCTAATTTGCCCTGACCTCGTGGGGCCCTACGTGGCTGCCCGCTTCCCTTTATCCTGACACTGTCTCCACCCCGGGCTCCAAGACTCCACTTTCTGTGCCCAGCCCCACTCCTCTTAGTAGTCCTTCTTGGTCTATCTAAGTGTCTCTCTTCTAACTGACTCTCCAGTCTTAAGCGTTGGTGATCTCTAGGGCCGGCCTTCCCAAACCTGAAACAATACAGAGTAGTGGGTCCCAACCTCAGCCACTCTCTACCTCCGCTGGTCTGGGATGGGTCATGAACTTGCTTCCAATATGCTGCTCGTGGTGGTGGGGGGAACCACTCTTTGAGAGCACAGTCCTGGCGTTCCAACATTGGCCACCTTCCTTTTCATGCTATACAATCTCTCTAGGAAATCTCTCTATTCCCAGAATTTTAACTCTGACCTCCACGCCCAAATCTATATTGCTAGTCACACACTCTCCAGAATTCCAAACCTATACAGACAGTGCCCGACTTACAATTTTTCCACATTATGATGGTGTGTAAGTGATACACATTCAGTAGAAACCGCCCTTGGAATTTTGAATTTTGATCT